TACCGTCTAATTTACAATCAAACAGGACTAGGGAGATTGGAAGCGCACAAAACATTAGTTAGCATTTTTATTTCCCAACCATAAAGGTGATTTGTATTTATTTATCATTATCATGACATGGCGAGATTGCGTCAACAAAACATCGGAGTTCTTGAACTTGTGATATTGCTACTTAAATAAATTGAAATAGATAAACATGTACTTGGCGAAGGCTGTACAATTATTGTTTAATAACGGCTATATAAAATTCAATTGGCTAACTATAATGTTTTGAAATTAGGATAAGCAATGTATGCAGCTAATATTAAACACTTAGTGTATACTGGTCTTAATATACAAAAGGAAAAATCATTTATAGTAGAAATTGTTCACTTCTGAGTTTGTAAAAATGTTGGCCTGATAGGTTTACACGCTTTCAGTTTCTACAACGTACAGTACTTTGTTTTCACAATAAATTTATGGTTACTGAGATGGTTACAAAATGTAAAAACAACTGCGTTTTTACTCGATTTTTGTCTGGAAATATGCACTGCACTTGAAACAGAGCACAAGTGAACAGACAAAATTTATGACAGTCATTCGCAATTGTTGTTGTACATTCTACTCGTTTTGAAAAGTGGAGTTTTAACTATAGAAGATTGATAAAATGTGAGGGGGGACAATTGATATGATTCCCCTCCCCCCAACTTTTTAAAATCGGGGGACGTGTCACCCACTGTTAAATGCCATTGATTTGATGTGTCTTTGTGGGCTCTGTTAAGCATATTCATTTTTTTTTTTTTTATTAAAACGTTGCCAAATATGTTATTTCCTTATGTTTTTTTAGAGAGGAAAAGGGTATTAAAGCATATTCGATCCCTATTGGCGGATCCAATGTTGTTGGTCTCCATGGTTACTTGTGTGGCTGGCAAGAACTCTTAGAACAGGTAAGTTGATTGGCAAACTTACCTGCAAACTAATATATTAAAACATGTGATTTTTCATCCAGCACAAATCTTAATAGATCTATTATAGTGTACATATATATAAACAGTGTTTAATTTTGAGTAGTTTTGTAGCTTGTTGGTTGAGATGCTTGCCTGGTAATCCAGGGGTCCTGTGCTCTAATCATGCAAGGATTAATTTAATGATTAAAACATTCCAGTCCCAAAGAGTTTAAATTGCGCCTATATGCATACATAGGACATGAGAGTGCAACATTGCACCTCATGATCAGTAGTCCAATACCTTACACGATGCATCACTTGCTCCTTACAAGCATGCTTATGATGTTATTGATTGATTGATCGTTTTAATTGATTTTGTTCATTAATGATGTATTAATGTAATAATAGATTTAATTTATAAATTTAATTTGATTTATTGCTCAATTGGTTGTGTGATGATGTGGATATATTTTTTATCATTTTGATTGATTGATTGATTGATTGATTGTTTGATTGTTTTAGTGAGTGATTTGCTTAAGCCTTGTCCAGGCAATCTATGTATGGATAGATTTATTGATTATTAGAGATTAATTAATTGATTTATTATTTTAGGGAGTGACTGACAGGGTTTGATGATGTCATACTAACTGTAGGCAGTGGTGGAACAGCAGCTGGTGTTGTTATTGGGAACTTCCTTACTGGATCCTATCTCAGGTATTTATTAAATTGATCTTTTTATTTGGTGTTTGGTAAAAAACCTGCAGGGCATCAGCTATTAAAACATAATGACTTAGTACACACACACATGTATGGAGTAAACTTAAGTGTACTAGGGTCAAAGTTTGACACTTAATCTTGACAGGGCTTAAGTCAGACGCTCTTAGTACGTTGTCCTTTAAATGCAATAGTAAACTGTGTACATGATAGCACATATGCACAAAAAGTAACTGACTCTTATTATTACTATGTTAAACTGTGTGCATGATAGCACTTAATGCATAAAAAGTAACTTGGTACAATATTCAGAAAGAGCAGTCTATTTTCTCCTGGTGTCATTATGGTAGGAAATGCACTGTAGCTGATGTCTTTATTATTCCGCTAAAGGGAAACTCTTTTCTCACCATCACATTATACAGTAGATAAAATATATATAAAAATATGCATGAAATGGTCATCATAGAAAATATACAAAATGTTTTAGAGGCAATGTAGTACAAGACACCTTTGCTTTTATTTTCAGGGTGCATGCCTTTGCTGTGTGTGACACTGCGGAATATTTTCACTCTCATATCAATGAGACGCTCACCAGTATTGGTTTAGGTGACACGGTGAGGTCAATGACATCATCAACATCCATGAAGGATGACTAGGATACGGCATTTCAAAACCAGAGGAATTGGGTAAGAAAACAAATGTGACAAAAAAAAAAAGTTATTGTTGTATTTATAAAACTTCTTGTCTAGACAGTTCTTTATACTGATTTAAAATATTTTTATTTTTTTAAAGAATTCATTAAAACAGTAGCCCAGCAGACTAGTATTTTGCTTGACCACAC